GAGTCCAATCAAACCTCTCCCCTCATGACATCTCCTCTCCTCTCCTCTCCTCTCCTCTCCTCTCCTCTCCTCTCTTCTGGCACTGTTACACAGCTGTTTGTGAAAAAAAATAAGACATGGGCCTGGTAGAAAACAGCAAATAAAACTCTCCTTGGAATCTCATTGCAAATTATTTCTGCAAATGGGGATGCCAAGACTGAGCTTTGATGGGAAGATGTAGGGAACTGGATCTACAGGGTGAGTGTGTAAAACAGTGCCTCTTCTCTACACTGTTTTAATCACTTCTTGTAGGAAGACAAAGGCCAGTGCCTGCTGGAGTTTTCTCTTGGGCTTCTCTACTTGTTCCACCTTCAGCAAACAGGGCACTGAATATATTTGTTCAGATCGTGCACATTTTGTGTTTAGTTTTCTGCACCTCCTTATTTATATTGCTAATGAATAAAACAGCTGCTGAAGACAGCAGCAGGTTTAGCCCTGCCTTAACTTTCACAATTACTTGTACTTAATGCTCCATAATTAAAAACATTAGTGGCTCTGTGTAACATTTCCTCTGAAAGAGTAGCTGCCTCCCACCCTCCCCAAACAGGACAGAAATATTCATGACTATCTCGGGCTCTGTTAATGACTTTCTGGAGTAAATGAATATGGAAATGATACAGAATTCATAACTAGAGCAGGTCCAGATTATTGGGGCTACGAACTGCATTCATTATGGATGTTGTCTTTGCAAAGGTTGCTCTCAGAGGCCTGAGATAAGGTGAAGTCTTCACCATATTAGATGCTAGAGGTGCACACTGCAGGAAGCACTTCCTGCCAGCCAGAACTTCTTTACAGCTTTCACGATTTCAGACTTTTTTCAAATATTCCTGCCAATTGACCCCAGATAAATTCAACTGGAGGAGATGTCAGTGCGAAAAAATATTCTCAGACTGTTCACCGCTTTCAGTTGTAACCTCAGCCAGTAAATCTGGAGGGTTATTGGGCTGCAAGCCAAGAGTTCAGGTTCTGGACTCTGAGGCTGATTGATTTTGCGAGCCAGCCAAGCTGCTGCTCTGACTGTGAACTGCTTAGTGTCTGTGCAGAGGGCAGCTGGAGCCATTCCCAGGGGGCAAAGGTGTTACTGCAACATAAACAACAACGGCAACGGTATTTCTTTTCTTTTCTTCTCCTGTTGCCTGTTTGGGGATTTAGATCACAAACTTTAGATCAAGGCTGTATTTTGTGTACAAATGCCTCACAGCAGGATGACACCTCCTGGCAGTGTAAACACCTGTAGCTAAAACTTAGGAGAGCAGCTGTGTCGTGTGCACAGAGGCCTCATGGCTGAGACAGAGCTCGAGAAGCGCAGGGGGAAGCCCAGGTTTTTGTCTGGCCTCAGCAAAGTGGGTTCACACCCCTGAAAATCACGAAACATTAGCACAGTGCTTCCCTCATTCCTTGCCTTGAGACTTTGCAGCACCCTCCGAGAGTCTCTTCTGCACTTAAATCTTCCCAGAGCAGTAAACTGCACGCTTCCTCACTTCAGTCCTGTACCAAAGGCCATCACAGAGCCTATGCAGTCTTTTAGTCTGAACTTAACCAGCCAGTCTGCTGGCCTCCTTAAAAGGTGAAGTTGTTGCTACTACAGTTTAATTCCCCTCTTGGTGTGGTAAGGAGGCCTGTGACCCAGCTCCCGCTTACAACAGCTCATCTGTGCCCAGGCAGAATTTTCTGCAATTTTGAAGCTGAAATGACTCAAATCATTCAGGATTTGTCCATGATACTGGTAACAAGTGCTGTGTAGTAAGG